CATTCCTTAATAATGACTTGCTTAAAACTAACAATTACAAGACTTTTATTCCAACATTCAATATCACACGGATGGGAGTGATCAGAGGAGTTCCTACAGAGTGGAATGATGAGGACATCCTTAATAATATAACTGTACCAATGGGGTGTGGTAGAATCTTAAAAATTAGAAGGTTGAAAAAGAAGAATTTTGTTAATGGAAAGTCTGAATTTGTCCCCATTGAGACAGTTGTATTAACATTTGGTCAGGTTCTGCCTAAAAGAATCTTTGTTTGTTACAACTCTTTGCCGGTTGATCTTTACATTTACCCAACAATCCAATGTTACCAATGTTGTCGCTATGGTCATGTGAAGAGTCAGTGTAGGTCCCTTCCAAGATGTTATAAATGTGGTCTTGGCCACACCGGTGATACCTGTAATGTTGAGGAGGAAAATGTATTATGTTTCTTGTGCTCAGGTCCCCATCAGGCTACTAGTAGAAAATGCCCTGAATACACACGTCAAAAAAATATTAAGGAGACAATGGCCAAAAGTTGCATTACTTATGCTGAGGCTTTAAAACTGCATCCTCCAATTGGTAAATCTTTTGCAGATGTTGTAAGATCTGGTAGCTCGACTCAATCTCATTCTCAAACTTCTGGAAATCTTCCCCAGAACTCAAAACTAAAATATGTTCCTAATAATAACCCAGGCTGGGATTCTTACAAAAAAACTGTTTTAAAGAAACCTAGATCTCCGTTCAACCCAGGTAAAAGTTATGACCGAGAACAACATCAAAATATGACCAATGATTATAATACTCCGTTTGGCCCAAGCCAAAATATTTTATGTAAAGATGACAATTCAAACNCGGCTATTGAGCTATGATACTAATCGCCATGGTATGTCGGGGACCAAGCCCGCCCTGGAACAGAACCCTAGAGAATGCCAATGCATAAGGCGCCCGATAACCCAACTAGAGGGTGTGGACCGAGGCCTACGGCACGGTAATAATATCATACAGTAGGTATTGTAACTTCATATAAACCGACGAAACGCGAGCTCTCCTTCGAATTTCAAATCTTTGGACGTGTTCGAGATGAAAAAATTAGGGGTGTCGCGAATGTGCCGAACGGACGTCGATGGCCTAATGTTGAAAATGACTAAGGTGATTGAATTTGACTGATCGTCATTTACGGTCAAATTTGTCAAAAACTAGTCATTAACTGTCCGAAATGGTCATTTTCAGTCAGTTTGATTTGAAATGAAAATTATATATTGTTTAAAACCAGATTTTGCCAACGATTTCACCCGCCTNTCTTTTCATTTGTTGTATTTCTTAGACGATACAGAGCAAATACGAAACAGCTTAACTTCTTACATATACCCTGAACATGACTTTTCCAATTGCAATGGTGATCCAGTGTAATACCCAGAAATTTCGTCTCATGGACTTCATCTATAATTTGTTCTCGGCATTTTAAGTTTAAGTTTATGCTTTTATTTTTGAGGCGTTAATTAAGAGATTATTCTGTCTTAACCAGTTATCTACATTAACTATTGATTTATTAATCGAAGCTTCGTAGATCACCCCTTTCTCATTATTTGGTATAACAAGTGAAATATCATCTGCAAACAAGTTAGTTTCAAAACAGGTAGCCTTCGGTAAGTCGTTTACANTCATTAACTGTCCGAAATGGTCATTTTCAGTCAGTTTGATTTGAAATGAAAATTATATATTGTTTAAAACCAGATTTTGCCAACGATTTCACCCGCCTGAAATTAAAGTAACAGGTCATTGAGTACTCATCATTATGATTAGTAGATTCAAAATTATTTAAGTATATTTTTTAAAATTAAATCTACTAATCACAAAACGACACGCATTTTTATCCTATTCCATTCACGAAGTATTTTGTTTGTCTTAATAAAAAAAAAATTACAATCACAAAACTAGATAGAAATTCTAAGTAGACAGATGTAATTAGAAAGGGTACTGTAGGTGAGCAGCCCTATCGCATGTTGTCATACCGTGACGTACCGCGGGGCTGTTGACATTTATTTCAAAAATATGGCCGAGTTGGAATACTGTATAGATAGTACATATCGTCAGTTGCAGGTTCACTTGGGGTAACTGACAAAATAGTTTTTCAGTAGAGCCGTTTAAAGTTTTTTTTCGTCTTGAATCGGACATAACTTTTTTCCTATTTAACCTTTTTTGGATCTGTTTTTACAGAAATGCTTAGAATTCTACGCGGTTTTAGATTAAATAAAAAGAATTATCTAATATGTCTTAGTTAAGGAAATAAATTGCAGTTACACCAATGTATTTTTGTACTTTTGACGGTTACACTAATTTTACACCATACTTTTGGAAAAAACATAGGTCAAATTGGTGTAAGTACTGCCCAAATTAAAATAATTTGATGTATTTGCTGGGTTTTGTTTACTTAGTTGCTGTATAATTTATGTAAAAGTATTAAAAAATAAGAGAATTCATGAAAAAAATAACATTTTGTCGATTTCTTTATTTAAAAAAAAAAATATTAGAAGTAACTTTTATTTTATTCATTAAAAAATGTTAAAAAAAGCCATGAAAATCAAGAAAATATGTGTATTTAATTTTTTTAAGACAGATAAATTATATTGAAATAACTAAAGTATTACTGTGAAACTAAGTAATTTCAATATTTTTTTAAGCTTTGACTTACCAATACCGTATTTAGCTCTACGGGGCAACTTAAGAATAGAATAGAAATCATTTATTTGCGTAAGAGACACGGTACATATTTGTTCAAATTATACATAAAGCAGTTTGTAAGTGCATGCGTGCTCTACCGAATGTCGGCATGCAAAAACTTAAGAAAAATGTCACATTAAATAAATTAAAATTAAAAAGATGTCCATTAATAAAATCATAATAATATTACATGCTTGTCAGGTACACATTCATTTACATTGTTTATTTAAGTCAAAATATTCTTTCATGTCATAAAAGCACTCTCCAACAAGCCAGCGTCTTNGCCGGACTCTGAGCTTCATTTGGCCGGACATTTTACCCTAAAAGCCGGACATGTCACGGGGGAGGGGGGGTTTAATTAGTGTCATAGCTCACGAGTGGTTATTATCATCATCTGTTGCCTATCATCCTGATGCGTGCGCTTGATATTATTCTGTGACTCGACTTTCGCCTGGCGCGACAGCCACATATAAAGCCTAACAAAAGCCGGACAGGCCGGACAAGCCAATATTTGGCCGGACAAGCCAATATTTGGCCGGACAAGACCTTAAAAGCCAAACATGTCCGGCTAAAGCCGGACGCCTGGCGACCCTAGCCTGGGCGGACTTACGGGTGCGGGTCGAGCTGGATGAGGTCGTGGTCGGCGGGCGCGGGGTCGGGCGCGGCGCGCGGCTCGTCGTCCGGCTTCGGGTGCATCAGGATGAACGGCAGCTCCGCGCTCAGGTCGCTGCAACGTTCACAACACTATAATCCGGCCCTTTTCAAGCCGAGAGCGAATAGGCACTTAGGCTAGTGATGTACAGTCGCAGAATGAAAAGGTTCGTCACCTTAGTGTCGGTTTTCGCTTGCACTAGGTACTGTAAGAGTCAAACCTGCCAACATAACAGTGCAAGAAACAGTGCTGCTAACATTTAAATAAATATGACGTTGCTAACAAATAAGGTTTTGCTTGTTTATTTTTCTATCCCATCAGTGCAATGCAATGATGACATTGACCAATTGACAATAGTTTTTTTTTATTTATTAGAAATAATAATCGACGATAGTCGAGTCCTATTTTTGAAGCCTCGAGGCGGAATGGCAAGACTCAGTGAGCTCGGTAGGCTCGGTGCCCCGAGCTTAGCCGAGCTGCGAGCTCTCTGAGCCATGCCACGAGGCTTTAAAAGAACTCGAGCCTTCTAACTATGTAGCTCGAACCTTCAAAAGAGCTCGAACCTTCAAAAGAGCTCAAACCTTCAAAAAAAAAAACATCACCTAGCTCCATTGATTTTTATTATAAGATTCTTAAAATTTACTTATATTTTATTTTGTTAGGAAAAGTCATAATTCTAATCGTATGTAGTCATTATTTGATTTGTGTCCTTTTGTGAAATCGTTTTTCAAATATGTATTTTATTGTGTAGGTATCTTAACACAAAAGTTAACTGGGCTTTCAAAAAGGCTCGAGCTTTCAAGAAGGCTGCGAAAGACTCCAAGCTTCATACAAACGAGGCGAGCCCCGGAAAAGGCTCGAACTCTAAAAAAGACTTCCGAGTCGTCGAGTTTCATACAAACGAGGCGAAACCTGTAAACGACTCTGAGCTCTCGACAAAAGGACTCTGTCTGAAGCCTCGAGCCTTGTACATCACTAACTTAGGCGGGTTTTAGAATCGCGTTGACCGCTCGCTGATCGTCGGCGCTGAAAGATCAATATGTATGTAATTGACGGGAACGTTCCTACGTGACGCTGATCGCTCGGCGCCGACGCTTCATACATTTCGGCTGTCAGCGCTGACGGTCAGCGTGCGTCAGCGTGACTCTAAAACCAGCCTTACAGGGCAGATATGTAACATCCTAGACTGCATCTCACTTAAAAATGTTTTTTAAAAGTGCTTTTAAAAGCCTACTTGCATAAATAAATGAATTTTGACACAGGCGCGATTTCGGTCAAATACCTGCCTTGTCGTGCGTAAAAAAACAATCTATACTAATAATATTATAAAGCTGAAGTTTTTTTGCTTAACTCAGAAACTAAGGATCCGGGCGGAGCAGTAATAAAAATATTGCGAAAAACGGGAAATATTATTCAGACTATTTTCACGCCTGCGAACCATTATTTACCCAAAATTGTGTAAATAATTATTTGAATTAGAATTCGCGGGCACAGCTAATTACTAATAAGGGTCATAGCACATTTATCAACCCGGAAAGGGATCAAAACATATTCCCACTGTAGGAAGACAGACAAAATGGAGGATTTGACCTACTCTTCCAGTGAGCTATGCTGGCTCCTTTTTTTAAACTTTATTCATACATAATTGACTTGATTAAATAATACGATACTCACCCTCCTAATGGACCAAGACAAAGTTTCACTTTCACCTTGTATTGAACTATGATACCTAGATTTTCACGTTGCGAAGGGTCAGCAATCCTGAAAAAACACATCATCCAGTTATATTCAAAGCGTAATTCAAATTTTTTACAATATAAGGGCGCGTACACTTAGAACGTCTAATTTTACAGGATCCTTTTTAAACTGATCAGTCGCTACTGGAGGTAATAATATTCACAGCAAAATCGGTCCTGTAAGTAAAACAGGAACGATTTTGCTTGATTTTGGTGCTCATTTTGTAGGATCAGTATTTTTACTGGATCCGGAATACTGCTACTACTTTTGTTTGTCACCTGTCATCCGCTTTGCAATGGAGGGAAGTCGAACCTATATTTCGAACTCCTATGTTCTTCTGATTAATTTCGTTCCAAGGACCAATGACAGTTTATCTTTGNCGAGTGGGTATTATCATCATCGGTTGCCTATCATCCTGATGCGTGCGCTTGATATTATTCTGTGACTCGACTTTCACCTGGCGCGGCAGCCACATATAAAGCCTAACAAAAGCCGGACAGGCCGGACAAGACCTTAAAAAGCCAAACATGTCCGGCTAAATCCGGACGCCTGGCAACCCTAGCCTGGGCGGACTTACGGGTGCGGGTCGAGCTGGATGAGGTCGTGGTCAGCGGGCGCGGGGTCGGGCGCGGCGCGCGGCTCGTCGTCCGGCTTCGGGTGCATCAGGATGAACGGCAGCTCCGCGCTCAGGTCGCTGCAACGTTCACAACACTATAATCCGGCCCTTTTCAAGCCGAGAGCGAATACGCACTTAGGCGGGCTTTAGAATCGCGCTGACCGCTCGCTGATCGTCGGCGCTGACATATCAATATGTATGTAATGAGGGCTATCGTTTTAGCGCTCACCAGTTAGCGCCACTGTAGAGTAAGGTCCTGTCACTTGCTAGTAGCGAAGACAGTGGCACCAACTGGTGAGCGCTAAAGTGGTAGGAGGACTATCGCATTTGCACTTATCAAGATGGCGCCACTGTAGAGTAAGGTCTTGAAAATCGCCAGGGGTGCCAACTGTTAAGTATAAAAACGATAGCCCTTATTAAAGGGAACGTTCCTGAGTGACGCTGATCGCTCGGCGCCGACGCTTCATACATCTCGGCTGTCAGCGCTGACGGTCAGCGTGCGTCAGCGTGACTCTAAAACCATCCTTACAGGGCAGATATGTAACATCCTAGACTTCATCTCACATAAAAATGTTTTTTAGGTGCTTTTAAAAACCTCCTTGCATAAATAAATGAGTTTTATGAGTTTGACAACGGTGCGATTTCGGTCAAATACCTGCCTTGTCGTGGGTTGCCGTGCCGTTAAAAAACAAAACAATCTATACTAATAATATTATAAAGTTGAAGAGTTTGTTTGCTTATCTCAGAAACTAAGAATCCGGGCGGAGCAGTAATAAAAATGTTGCGAAAAACGAAAAATTGTGTAAATAATTATTTGAATTGGAATTCGCGGGCACAGCTAATTACTAATAAGGGTCATAGCACATTTATCAACCCGGAAAGGGATCAAAACGTATGCCCACTGTAGGAAGAGACAAAATGGAGTATTTGACCTACACTTCCAGTGAGCTATGCTGGCTGTCGATGCCTTTTTAAACTTTGTTGTTGTTGTTGTTGTTTCAACCAAATGACGTCCACTGCTGGACAAAGGCCTCCCCCAAGGTTTTCCACAATGAACGGTGACTAAACTTTATTAAACTTTAATAAACTTTATTCATACATAATTGACTTGATTAAATAATACGATACTCACCCTCCTAATGGACCGAGACATAGTTTCACTTTCACCTTGTATTGAACTATGATACCTAGATTTTCACGTTGCGAAGGGTCAGCAATCCTGAAAAACACATCATCCAGTTATATTCAAAGCGTAATTCATTTTTTTTACAATATAAGGGTTCTAGTCACTAATCCTGTTATAGTCACACATAGAACGTCTAATTTTACAGGATCCTTTTTAACTGATCAGTCGGTACTGGAGGTAATATTCACAGTATTTACTTACAGGACCGATTTTGCTTGATTTTGCTGATCATTTTGTAGGATCAGTATTTTTTACTGAATCCGGAATACTGCTACTACTTTTGTTGGTCACCTGTCATCCGCTTTGCAATGGAGAGAAGTCGAACCTATATTTCGAACTCCTATGTTCTGATTAATTTTGTTGCGGGTCCAATGACAGTTTATCTTTCCCCCGGGACAAACTTGTCCTTCCCTGGTTGGGTTTTTATTGGCGGTCAAGCTGTAGATCCTGGCTACGCAGGAGTTGGGTTGGGAATAGTCCCATTATCTGCCGGTTGATATAAATACACTCGCGAGCAAAAATATGGAATCACCCTATTTATTCCGAGCGATCATAAGAACTAAATGACTAATAGAAGTTCAATAAAAATGGAACCATTTTAAAGGTGATATTATAAGCTTAAAATTGATACCATAGATACATACAATACGTAGTCATTCAGTTCTTAAGACCGCTCGGAACACAAAGGGGTGATTCCATACTTTTGCTCGTAAGTTTAGAAGTAACGGCAGGCCTGTTCATCTCCGCGAGTTTACATCGAAAACAAAACACGCACGATGGCCCACCTATAGGATACTATTCGACAAGGCCTCATATACGAGCGAACATTGACTCACGCACGCGTATTCTTGTGTGTGATGGAAGAAAATAAAGAAAATGGTGTACTAAATACTGTGCAGTATTTAACTGCCTAAATAATAATAAAAACACAGAATGTACTTTTTTAAGTTGCCTCAAGACACTGAGAGGTAAATAAGTAGTTAATATTATTCATGATAATTCATGCTAAATCATGTATTTCCTCCGCCATTTTCCGCAGTTTGGCACCTCACGTCACATCATTTTACCGAAGTCAGCCCTACAGCTTCGGCGCAGTGCCGATCACTGACGTTTGTCAACAAAATGGTGCTTGACTCTTGAGACAGGCTAAATTACACCATATTGTTAATGACATTTGAGCATACATTTTTTTAAATACCTTCGCGAAGTAAAACTTCTGTACGTAGTACTTATTATTATTCTGTGGTAACGGTCCCGGGCTGGGTACTCACAGAGTGCTGGAAGCGAGGTTGGTGTCTTCGTGCTTGAGCTGGCCGTCGAGCGCCAGCCCCCACTTGTCCTTGTTGTTGGCGAGCAGCGGCGTGAGTGTGAACACCTTGCTCAGCGTGAAGCCCGGCCCGACGGGGCAGCCTTCCCTGTACGAATGCCACTTGTAATGAGGGCTCTCGGATTTATCCATCAACTTAATATACCTAGCGGAATAGAGCAACAAAGAACTGAGCGAGCATATGTCACATCACTAGCAGCAACACTGTGTGATAAAAAAGATGCTTGATGCCGTCGCCGTCACGTCCAACAGAACCGTTTTTTGCAACTATTTGACAGTTCGTTAGCACTTATTGGCACGCTGAAATTTGAACTCAGATTTTTTCACACACAAATGACATCCAGTGTCATCCAAAATCGGTTTCGTTTGACAGCTCGGGTTTGTTGCTATATTCCGAATGAATATTAACTTTATGGTTGGCACTGTCACTGGTGAGTGAGTAGAGCCTTCAAATTAGAGGCTCGAGGGAGCACTGAAGTGGCGCCGGTCTTCATACAACTTCTAGAAGCGCAACAGCCACACACCTTTGTCATGGTAGTGGCACTGCAAATGCGCTTCTAAAAATTGTATTAAATCTATTGGCGCTAACTCACGCTAATTTTACGCCTCAACCTCCTTGTTAATAAAAATTACACCCTAGATGAACTCTGGTTTAAATTGTCATTTAGTATGGACATGTCATTTTAATCCATGTAATCGGATGTAACTTTTTATTAATAAGGGGGTTAGAGTCACTGTATACGGTGGCGTAGCGTACGCTTGGTGCGAGTGCTATAGTCCTGTTACCGCTTCAGCCCTTACCAGTTAGCGAAGCTATTTTATCCACTTGAGTGACATTGGCTCCAACTGGTGAGTGCTGAAGCGATGGCCCTCTTTATACTTCTTCTTAGTCTATTAAGTGGGCTGATCTGTTTGTTATCGAATAAAGAGGATCGATTTATGTAATGGTTGCTAAGTAGGTATAACAGGTGTTTTAAAATAATGCAGTTTGTGTGAAAAAAGAGAAAACAAATATGACACATAAAAGATGAAGTAAAAATGTTAATAAAGGAGGGAAAGGTTTAGAAATTCGTTATTTAAAAACGTAGGCTTATTATAAATAAATATGTATATTCACAACAAACTTATCAACCGTACGATAAAATAAGCGATAATGGTTTTAATGGGATTAATTAGTAACAATAACTTTTTAACTATTGATATCATTATCTAAACATAAATATGTTTTGCCATTGATACTGTCAAATGTCTATAATTAAAAACGGTAAAATGCAAGATAACTTGCCAGTAGTTTTTGAGTTGAGATACCATAGAATCGATGGCTTATTTCTTTCCACTACTCAAACTCATGCGATTTAGTATGGGGAAACAAAAGATATCGACGTATGGCCGTGTAGCGAAGTTTTTTATATTTCAGCACGAAAATTACCTAATATAAAGAAGTAGGGTAACTTTATAAAAGGGTCTTGTGGACAATTGTATGCAATCCATGCACTCACACGCAAACATTTACTTACAGCGATTGCATTTTTAAATTCTTACTGAACATCTCAATGAAGGGGAATCTATACACTCTCTTCTTCGACATTGCCTCCCTGAATCAAAAACGATTTGTCAGCTTACAGCACCATGTCTGCGTGGGAACACGTTTCAAAGTAGGTAAAGGGAAAAAGTGAAGATTAATGTTATTGCGGTTGAAATAAATAAGGAAAGGTGCAATAAATAAGTTATGTCTTATAAATAATTCATGTATAAATAAAGAATATCATAAAATAAGACTATTATGAACATAAAGATGAGGTAGACAGAGGCAAATGTCGGCCAGTAAACCAGTGAGCCCGTTTTCACACTAATTTTGTTTTCATAGGGGTCACTTAAAAATTAGGGATTGATAGTGAAAACGGGCATGAGTCTCCCGTTGTCCTAGGTGAGCGACGGAACGCGACGTAATGAGACCAATGTCCAATACGTCACGTCATGTATGACACACGTCATGACACGACTACCTACGTAGGCCATTAATATAATCGTATACAACCAACTACTCGATATTTTAGCATCGGGCCGCGTTCGTCGTTGACCTATTAGGACAACGGATCACCGACACCATAGTCTGGTCCGTGAGCACGTAGAATTTTGACCAATGACCCCAAGCTACCCATCCTTATCGCTCGCGCGTAATTATGTTGCTGTCGCGCTCGCACACTCACTGCGGGTGCCAGTCGCACAGTCGCGACAGTAATATAATTATACGCGCGAGCGATAAGGATGGGTAGCTTGGGGTCATTGGACAAAATTCTACGTGCTCACGGACCAGGCTTTAGTTGTTACTGTTGTTAGCCGAGTGTGTCGGTATAAAGGCGCGCACTCACTCGCTCTCCGCCTCGGCGACGGTGCACTTGTACTGCGCGGTGGAGAACAGGCAGATGTCGGCGAACTGACGCACCGACACCTTGATGCGCTTCACCGACCGGTTGGAGTTGTTCGCTATGTGCACGTTCACTGCTATGTTCTCGCCGTGGTGATAAAGCTCCTAAATAAACAATATTATTTAAACATGCTGTTCCGTCTGATCTTACCTAAAACATGTTATGTACTTTCGAACTGTATGTAAATGTCAGTGAGAGCGTCTCAAAAATTGCAATCATTATAACACTGTTTACTTATTTGACAGCAAAGACAAACACCAAAACCACTCGTCCATTATTCTTCCTATTTGCATGTCTCTTTGGCCATACAGTTGATGCAATGAAATGGAGTCACGAGTAAAGCTCATAGCAGACTTATCAACTCGGAAAGGGATCAACACCGTATCGCCTTTCGCGAGCTGTCATCGCCTTTTGCGCGCTGTCAATCGCGAGGCGAGGCGTTTACGTTACGGTGCGGATAAGTGTGCGTTGCATTATGGAGTTTCATACAAAGAATACAGACCGCCTCGAGTTGATACGGTTACGATCCCTTTCCGGGTTGATAAATGTGCGACGTCCTTTATTGTACTAAAATTTGACATTTGTCCGCGGCTGCGCAATTTCGAGACTAAACTGACCTTATCTAAGGAGGCTTCCAGGTACAGTTTGTTTGGGCTCATCATGAACTCTTTGGAGACCTCGACGGACGGCTGCTCACCCTGCTTGCTTGGCGCGTACATAATCTTTCTGATAGCGAGCCGTACTGAATTTCTGGAAGGCAATGCAAAACATCATTAGTTTACAATGGGGTACAGTTGACTTCATCTGCCGTTTGGCAGTGACAGTAAAGACGCTTTGCATTATGATCACTGGCAGGTATTTTGACAATTAAGATTTTGGATTATAGCATGTTCAGAAAAGTAACTTAAGAATGTTTTTTAATCAGGCCCATCTTGACTTGAGCTGCTCGTGGTGTTAGCGAGCATAAAAAAGCGAAACTTAATTTAAAAGAGAACCTTTGCGAAGGGGAAGTATGGAATCAAAGATTTCAAAAGATAGGGAATCTTGTGACCTAGGTTGCCAAATCGAATTACCCTATTATCAGGAATAGAAACACATTTACGGGATTTTGGAACTTTGGCGGAAGAAGCATTTCAAACTTAAGAAAAGGATAGACTAATGGATGGGCATTAATTTTGAGCCTTTCTCTTGTTGCTGTGTGTACAAATGAGCAAATATTTCTCTTATTTTATTCTTCTTATTCATCTTGAAAATTATACACAGAGCAACAAGAGATAGGCTCAAAATTAGGGATTAAAAAAAAAAGAAAAAATCAATCTCTGTAATGGTGATACTTTTACTAAAGCTATTCATGCGTTTGGACGCGGTAGCGGGCCACATTTTTTTTTATAGATGATGATGACCATCTATAAAAAATGTGGCCCGTAATTAATGGATGCATTAGTCTATCATGTCCATACGTTTGGTATGATCTTTACGGGACACCCTGTATAAAAACAACATAAATATTGAACGTTATAGTTTTTCAGATATTTTTTTGTCGGGAGGACATGCAAAAATTTGGGCGAACCCCTCCAAATCCCTACCTCTTGTGCGGCTTGTCGTCCTGCGCGTCGGCCACGAACGCCTTGAGCTCGTAGTCGACACCGCACGGCTTGCCGGTGTCGCCGGGCGCCGGCTGCAGCGTGACCGACGCGGGGCAGTGCGGCGGCAGCTCGAAGTAGAACGGGTGCGCCGCCGGGCCCAGCTTGCGCACCAACCGTTCCTGCAGTCGCGTCAGTGGCCGCTTCGATGTGTTCGTCGGTGGGTAAATCTGACGACAACGCAAACGCTCACGTTACAAGCGCAACCGGTGAATATACAGGGTGTTAGGTAATGGGTTTATAAGCCGACACTAGCCTATGTTAACATAATATGCATATAAATGGTATGAAGTCAGAAAATTTATATTATTTTAACTTTCATACAAATCTGATTTTATAAATTTAATTTTTTGACACCATATTCCCAAATAATTCGAAATCTCAACTTTTTTTTAAAAGACACTTCGTTCTTGTCTTAAATACTTAATTAATTTCAAATTACCTGTAAATTACCATTTTTGATTGCATTGTAATTGAAAAAAGTAGTTTGAGTTGACAGAATAGTGACGTCACTTGCTTGTCCACCATACAAAAGCCTCAACTAAGTTGTAATTTTTCTAAACTTAAGTTGCTATTCGTCAAATCGTCAATTAATTTAACAGGAAATGGCATGTGGACTACATCAAGCATGTGTAATTCATTATTACTTTAAGTTCTTCATCCTGTATTTATAATAAGTCCTCGCCCTTACTATTATTATGCGTAGGTATCTTATCAGTAATACAGTCTTGCAAAACATTATTAATAATTCATTGATATTTCACCTAATTGGAACAAATATCGAAACTTTGATTGGCACATCCGGACTAAATAACAAATTGCAACGCAATAAATTATTAGACTAAATGCAATGTTATTGTTATTTTAATTATATTCATAATGCTATCACTTTTCCGCGATAACATGTTTTAATTGTTCAAAATTATTAAACTTGCTTATTAATATTTGTGAATAAATTAATATGAATTACTGTTGAAAACTTCAGCACAATTAAACTTTGGTTGTGAAATATAAACAAATATGTTTTGGCGCACAAAATAATTATTTATACAGGGTGTTAGGTAAATGGGTATATGAGCCGACACTAGCCCATGTTAACATTATCATATAAATGGTATGGTGAAGTCAGAAAATTGATATCTTCATTTCAATTATTTTATTTTTCATACAAATCGGATTCTATATTTTTTTTTGTATGAAAATTAAAAAAAATAAAATAATGATATCAAATTTCTGACTTCACCATACCATTTATATGCCCATGTTAACATGGGCTAGTGTCGGCTCATATACCCATTTACCTAACACCCTGTATTATTGTGAAGGCTTCGAAGCAACCGCTGTCAAATAATTCCGATGCGAGAACTACTAAATCAAGGCAGTCTATGTATATTAAAAGGCTTTTGAATTAAAGGCGGCGGTTCGCGACGCGACCGAGACGGGACTCACGGGAGATCACGACCGACTTGATTTAGGTATCTAACTCGTCTCTGCTTCGATCGCGAATTTATTCTTATTATACATTGTCTTCTTATGAGGCACATAGTAAGCGACCACGTCCCTTGATCCGTACACCATCACTGGCAACACACACTGGTCAAATACTTTTGACTTGAGACACTGCGGTATATCGGACGTGAGAATTTCGCGAAGCTTCCCGAACGCTTCCCAGCCGAGTTGGATTCGACGAGTAACCTCTTTCTCGAAGTTGGACCCTTTGTCCAGCAGTGGACGTTTTTCGGCTGAAACGAACGAACGAACGAACGATACATTGTCTAAAATCAAGTAACAGTCGTGGTCCCGCTTCGGTCTCTTCGGTCGCTTGTCTCTATCGCGGCGTAAACTGCCTTAAGGTGGTGGTTCGCGTACATTGCCTAAAGTCTAACTACGTCTAGTAACTGTCTCCTGTCTCTGTCGCGGTGCGAACTGTCGCTTATACATTGTCTAAAGTCAAATAACGGTCGCGGGCTCCCGTTTCGGTCTCTTGTCTCGGTCGCATATTTCTGTCACGACGCACGCAAACCACAGTTACAGTCCGCGCAGTTTACACCGCGATAGAGACAAGCGATCGAAGAGACCGAGGCGGGACACCGCGACCGTTACTTGATTTATACCGGTTTTCACCATCAATCCCTAATTTATAAGTGACCCCTATGGTAACATTTAACAGGAATTTTGTTTTCGTAGGGGTCAATTGATGGTGAAGACGGGCATTAGGTTTCTGTCTCGGTCTCGCTCGCAAACTGCCGCTTATACGCGTCTAGTAACGGTCTCCTGTCTCTGTCGCGGTGCGAACCGTCCCCGGGCAGATCGCCATCGCCGGCACGATCATAGGCTAATGACAGGTCGCGCGACCCATGAAAGTCCGCGCGACCTGTCATTATGGCGATCTGCACGCGTTGGTGTGGTTGAAGCTTTAGAAGCGAGGTCAGCGGTGTGATGACGTTTACCGTTTTCTTTGTTACCTGTTCGGCGGCCAGGTACAGGTCCTTGCGGAAGGTCAGCCCCAGCACGTCCAGGTCCTCGCGGCCGTACCTGAACGCGGCCAGCACGTGGCCGAATACCTTCCTCTCCTTCACATACTCCGGGTCGATTAGTACCACGCCGTCTGCAATTCATATTTGACATCTGTATGTAAAAGGCAACAGGGTCAGCGCAGACCAGGTAAGGCATGGCGGGAAGACCAAGGAGAAAATAATTTAAACTAAACCCTATTTTTATGCCCTACGGTTGGAAATGATATGCCAAAGCCAAAATTAACGGTTAGCAAGCCCCGTCAAGCTGCCACGAGAGCTACTACTCCTGGTGGTGCCGCTTGACAGCTCAATCCGTGGCATACGTCTGCGCTCATGCTTTGCAAACAGAACCACGCTTCGCCGCCCCAGATCTGCGCTGACTGAATGAGTTTTCTCAGTTTTCCAGATTTCACCCCCCTAATTTAAAAATAACAATATCTCAATTTAAATAACATTTCGAAGGGAAACCCCATGTGAGAGAGTGAAAGCGTTCCACGATAATCATTAATTAATAATTAGATTCAGGTAATTTAAGTTAAAGGGTAGGATGAATAAATTAAAAGAGAGAGATAATTCAATTTACATAGTAACAAGCATCCATAGCAAAAGTTAAGATTTCAGCTGCCTTTTTAAGGAATCATGGTTGTACTTGTAACTTTAATGATCGAACTTCAAAGATTGTGTCAACTTTACATCGAGATAATGACAGAAATGAATAAAAAAGGTTATCATTCGTCGTATACATTTCCCCCAATTGATCCCCTCGGTTGTCCGCTCACCTTCCTTGATTATCGTGTAATCTTAAGACGAGAAAAGTCAAAGCCCGGGAAATTATCACCGGCGGAGACAGATGACAGGCGTTCGATAAAAAGTGGATTATGGCGGCTTAAGGCGGCCTCCGCGGAGCGTGCCCCAGAATAACGCCCGCCCTGTTTTTTCAAGCACCGTGACTATTTTCAATTGCTTATTTAAAATTATATTTCTAAGTAACATTTTTTTGGTGATTGATGAACTGTTCCATCCAAATATAAAGGAAGAAATAATATAATAGAAGTAGGCACTTCAAAGGCAAAATTCACATGGCGATAAGACCGCCTAAATTGTGCATTATCTTTTTCTATCTTTTCTTTACTGGTCTTGGGTGGTGTACAATAATAAGTGTGTTCTATTCTGTTCTATTCACTAATAATTTGTCAACACATTAATTACAAATAAAGCTCGTAAGGGCTGGTGACTTATTGTAGGTGCACTACAATAAGTCCTCTACATAACAGTAAATCTATTACAAATTAATAAGGTTACTATCACAGAGCTTTCAATCTTTAAGTATTGTAATTGATAAACTTACCAATCGGGTCTACATGTGTTATGTGGTCTACGAAGTCCCTCTTCCCTAAATATACTGTTATCTGCAAATTAAAAACAAAACTTTTATGTAACAAATTCATGTCAATTCTTCCATATAAATATTCTAGATTGAAGATAACACACAACCTATCTATAGAAACAATACAGGGTAAAATTAGATCGACAAAAACCATTTTGGACAATTCTTATAGTTGGCATTGTGTAGCTAACCTATCTATACGCCACCAAAGTTCGCGTGTGCGAGCGTGTCGAAACCATAAACGTAATGTAATTGAAGAAGTAACCGTGTAAACGGTGGTATTGTCATGAGGAAAAGTTAATTACTGCCTACCATTTTTAATTGCGGAGGTTTTTGTGGCAAAAAACAACGAATTAAGTTTTGTTTTTATTGGTCAGCCCAATTTGGAGATAAAAAAGAGCTTCGAGAGATGCATCGACTAAGTGCACAAATAATTTTATTTTATTTGGGTCGGGAGCGAGAAAAACCGAAATAAATTACTCACAGGGTTTAATAAAAGTTTTAAAACAGGTCTATAAATAATATCACTGATAAATAAATCACGTTACTGACATTAACTGGGAAAAGAGCAATTAGGCAATAGGGCCAAGTGTGCTTCCCCACGGTATGTCATAGGCAAGTGGGGGACTTAAATCGATCACGGATCTACGACTTTTTCTAACCGGGGCATAAAATTTTAGTAGCGCCTCCTTCCTGTTTGAGATGCCTCTAAAAAGTTCGACACGCTCAAGATTTTGATGCGCGAGTCAGTTGTTTCGTACCAACTAGGTATCTGGTCAAACAATAGAATAACTTGTACTTTACGATACGAGGCGCTAAGTGTTCTTTTTTCTCAAAGCGCCCCCTTAGATAGAAGTCTTTAGTTAGTCCCTGGCGGATTACCTTTCCATTGGGCGAGCTCTTCTTGAAGACGCGCGTCGCCTGCCGCTGCTTGTTGCTGCCGGCGTCGTCCATCCTGCCGCCGCGGCCTCCGCTCCACTGCCGACCACAATTTATACATAAATATACAATTTATACTACAAACAGCACGCACTGCTACCAAGAGTTACAGGTTAGAGTAGGAAGATAAACCACACTGTGGTAGTTAAAGGCTTTGTCCGGATTCCCATAGTTCTTCCCACCAAGGCGATCGACGGAGCCGGGGTTATTTGTTATGACTCATCATTTTGATGAGGGGAGCCCCACATAAAAAATGCATTAAATTGCATAGGAAAGACCGAGGAGAGTTGAAACAAAGGCGAGTTGAGACGTTGACGATTTTTTGGAACTTATTAACTACTAGCTTTCCGCCCGCGGCTTCGCCCGCGTGGACTACATAATATAGCCTATAGAGGACCCGCCTATTTTTTCCAAAATAAAATTTTGCCTATGTTACTCGAGGATAATGTAGATTTCGAATGGTGAAAGAATTTTTAAAAACGGTCTAGTAGTTTTTGAGCCTATTCATTACAACCAAACAAAGTTTTTTTTTATGCATAACAAGGCAGGTATCTGACCACAATCGCACCTGATGTTAAGTGGGATGCAGTCTAGGATGGTACATATCTGCGCTGTAAGTGTCTATTCACTCTAGCCTTGAAGAGGGCCGGATAATAGACAGCAGCAGGCAACGAATTCCAGTCCCTAGCAGTTCGCATCATAAAAGAGTCATCGAAACGCTTAGTGCGAGCTGGTGGAATGTCAACAATATAGGGATGGTACGCTAACCTGCGTCTGGTTCCCCGATGATGGAAGGGGGCTGGTGGAATTAATTCATGTAATTCTTTCGCACATTCTCCGAAGTTTTCCTCTTTATAATATTAGTGTAGACTAGCGAGCCCGTAACAGCGCGTGCTTTTTAGTTCAAGTCTCGAGCTAACAAATTACGTCCTGTTGCGAGCTCTACAACTCTTCTCGGTCTCCCTTACCCACCCCGCAGGGACAGGGTAGATACTTATGCAACTTAATGCATTTTTTCCCCAAAAAAAAGGAAGATAAACCACAATCAAGAAAGAGGCTAAGTGCGGTTTTCGATTTATTTGCAAAACTAACAAACTATGTAAAATATCAAATGATAATTTTACTCACGCGGGCCCTTGTGGGGCTCCAGGGTGCGCGCTACCGGCACAGTCTATCGCTGCGCAGCCGCACCGCCCTAGAACAACGGAAAAAACAATTTATTGACTGCGCTGACGGCCGATGACACATTGCTTAAATAAAATGTCAGTAGCAGTACAGAATACAGGATTTTTCAGTTACTACTATATGATACACATTAATATCTTCTTCTTTTTTATGACACATACCTTTTTGAATTCTTTTCATATTTAATACATTACTGAGCCTTTGACCTTCATTAATTACATTTTGATAGAGATACAAGGAAGTGAATATTGCGAAATTAAAACGCAAAAGTAGGCGTAACCTATTATCGCATCGTATTGAATGAAAGAGAGCTATAATATTACTGATACTGTAATAATATCATCGTACCCTTCAATGGTAACTTAATATGTATTTTGTTCTGTATCTATTGGTTCTCTAGTACTATTAATATGCTTCGTTCTCAAGCACAAAAGTGTTCTATAACAAAAATAATGATATGCGTATGTATACTTATCAGTCAAAAATTTAGCTATTTTTATGGCTAAATATTTATTTACTGTGATTCGAGCTTGGCACAGACTTCAAACAGATGGCGTAGGGAGAGTAAATATTGTTGTCTTTTGAATTTTGTGATTGAGATTTTTCACTCTAATTGTATTGACTTTTTTATATTGTTATTTTTATTTTATTTTAGTGCATGTAGGTGTATCAAACAAAAAATCGTTTCTATTTAATAGGGTTTTAAAATGCGCTTTCACACGTCCCAGTATAAATTTTACGTTACCAATGCTTCGGAATAATTACTCAATAATAAAATACGGACCAACACGGAGCTAATGACTTCCAGACTATGCAGACAGAGAAATAAAATATGAAAAAATAAACCGATTGAGCCTGAATAGAACCTAATAATTTATGAAAAAAAGAACAACATTTTTTATAAATTAGATTCTTACACACTGTAAGGATATTGAGTTTACGCACGAGTACACTTATCTTTATTAACGGGGAAAAGTAAAAACAAGATTAACCTTAATCCCGAACAAGCACGTAGTTACCAAATAGTTATCCCGTAATTACGAAACTGCGAAGGCAAACATTGTTGCTTTGTTACGTTTCCTTTGACTTGTTGTGATAACATTTTTAATTAATCTACTGAGGGTGGATTCGACCAAACAATAGTAAATATTAATCTCAGATAAAATCGTCCGTTATTCGACATTTTAACATATTTCCCATACTGAAACTGTCAATGTGTCAATTATACCAGGTAAAAGTTTGTTTCTATTCTGTTCTAGTTTCTAGTTCTAGTTTCTATTCTACTCTCTCCAAGAATTTTTAAGCTATAGGGAATAATCAGCAAAAAGTAATACCGTAATAATTATATGTAGTGTCAATATTTTTTCGATATATTTGCATGCTATTGTTGATGGCTGGATAGGTGATCATATTTTGTTATTTTCGACCTTCTTTACACCCTATTCAAAGACAAATAAATATTTCTATTTCTATTTCTATTGATCGAATCGGGCCTAAGATGAATTAAAATTAGCAGCTGGGTTAGGAAGCGGGTCGTTATTATTTCAGTTAGACGACAAACGACGATTAATTATCGCGATAAAAGCTTCTGATATAGTAAAAGCTTTACCATATTAATATATGAAAGCAACATTGTATGTGCTGATGTGAGCTGACATATAATAATTGGCGTGTTCCGTGTCGTGGACTCGGTGACATAGGACCGACTAATCGAATTCCGTCATTCCACTCGGCCTTGCGAACACCATAACTACGGCACCCCATGAGACGTCCCCTGCATATAGCGGCGCAGTTGATTTTAATTAGATTACGGTGTCTGACGTACCAGTTACTGGTCTACTATAAGTAATGTATTTTTAAACTCTATCTAAATAATAACGAGGTAAAAAAGATAAATAGAGCTAGATATTCACCCATTTCACTAAGTACTCAGAAGCTTATTAAGAACTTCTGTGTTTGGAAATCTGCCTGGGCAACGCCAACCAATGTTAGATATTTCAGACAACTATCTAAAACTAAGCCTCATCATATTGCCAAACTAGTTAGGCCATAGGGAATTATACATATGTATATCCCCGTAGCCAAACTCTAATTAGGTACTGTACTAAAATTACAACCAGGTTGGTTCTGAGATTAGTAGAGGCCTTATAAGACCAGGGGACGAAATTTCAAAAGTAGTTTTCTATTATAAGAGAATTTCACGATTTGCATATTTTTTTAAAGATCGTAATATTGTCTTAATTGTAGGTACCTATTTATCTAAATAGATATAACTCAAAGATGACTGACTGACGGACATTGTGATCTATCAACGCACAGCCCAAACCACTGGACGGATCGGGCTGAAATTTGGCATGCAGGTAGATGAATATAACGTAGGCATCCGCTAAGATAGGATTTTAAGAAACTCCACCCCTAAGGGAGTAAAACGGGATCTACGCATACGAAGTCGCGGGCGGCCGCTAGTTTAAAATATTACTTGAAGGACGACATGGGCGTAGACTTCAAAATAAATTACTGCTTGTGAGATTTTAGTTCTTGTATCCCAAATTACCAATCTCATTTTGTATACTTGTGACGGTAGAAGCACAGAGTTTCCGTAGATATGACTAAATATATTTGCCCGTCTGTTTAGACGGAGCCCGCCAGCAAGCGACAGGGGCCCGGTAATCGGATTTCCGTCCAGGGCCTTGCGCCGTTATTATTACTTATACGAGAGGAACCTCTATGAATGTATTGTACACAAGAATACCCTAATGGAATGAATGAACGCGGGTGTAATTATGATTTATTGGGTGACATATTATGTCTGAAAGTTACCTATATTCTGTACTGTTGTGCTGGTAGTGCCAACTGCCAAGTCGTTATACTTAATCATCTTAATTCTTCATTTTATTTTTCAATACATTACAAAATTAGCATTAGAATAAAATGCTAAAATGTTAAAATTGTGGAAAACCTTGGGGGAGGCCTTTGTCCAGCAGTGGACGTCATTTGGCTGAAAAGAAGAAGAAGAAGAAGCTAAAATTAGCATTTTTAGCTAAGGTACTAGCTGGATTTTTTTCTGTTACAGGAAAACTTAATCGCGCGCCTCCCAGTTTCAAAAACCGAAATAAAATCCTGTCTCCTTTTCCGGGACTCAAACTATCTCTATGCCAAATTTCATCAAAATCGGTTCAGTGGTTTAGGCGTGAAAGCAAGACAGAGTCAATTTCGCATTTATAATATTAGTTAAGATGTGCTATTCTGATGAAGGTACGTACAATAGTGCCTTTTTTCTGTGATGCGGATTACGGATTCTTTCGAATTAGGTCCGTGTGCGTGTAAAATCACCCTGCTGGTTGAACGCAGGACAAAGATAATCCGCATGCGGGTTGCCCACATTTAATTTTCATTATTTCATACATGAATGTTTTTCTTCTTACGCGGGCTACACGCACGCGGAATGCGGATCAGCTGCGGCACACAATAGGGCGAAGTGGAAGTAGAAGTCATTGAAGTGATGATGATGAAGTAATACTTTACTATGTTAGAGTTGAATTACACAAGTTATTTTACATACGTTTTAAAAATAAACTATTCATTGCTGATCAAATCACTATAGTTAGTGAATAATTGAATATAAATGGTTCAACCGATTAGTAAGATTGGAAATTATCGAACGAATTGAGGTAGTAGAGGTTTGTCCAATAAAAATGTACCTATTAGTTTTGTAGATAAGGCAAACGTAGAGAAAACAGCATATCCAGCTAAACATTGTGGCATCTTATACATTGTAATAGATAGTTACTACTCTGCAACAAAAATGTGTCGGTCTGATGTGCTCGACAGCATAATACAAACAAAAATCCGATGTCTTTATCATCATTCCACTGTCTCGCTTATTCTGAAGACAATTAAGTTCACATCAACGTGTGTTCTAAGTTATGACATACCTAATAGGTCGCGCGTTTCTGATCGATCGAAATCGTAGTAATTAACGGGTTAAAGTATTTTCTTTATAGGGGCTTATACTATTCCATATACAGTAATCTAATTATGAATCACGATGTTGTATCAATAGGCATTCTAACCTATAATTTAGCTTTGTCTATAATATACAAAATCTTAGAAGTTCATTCGACTAGCTAGAAGAATCACAATCCTCCATTGAAGGGGCGAGAGTGTGGGTAAAATAACCTCAAAAAGGTCTTGCACTTTCCGCCCAAGATAACTTTAATAACATTAACCCTTAATAATATTTATAACAGAATATCGAATACGAATGCGTACCCAGTGAGTGTTAAGTGTGGGGAGGTGGAAAATGCGGAGATTGCCTGTGGAAACGAAGTTGACACGAGCCGGGAATTTCTATAGCATTCCACGAAACATAATAACGTTTTTATTGAATCCACCTTGACGTCGTACATTTACGCTCGGATCGAATGAATTTCTTGGATACACAAAATATTTCGTACGACAAACATCACATGTCATACAAAAGATATTTAATAAAAGTTTACAACGCTCTTTCATAGAAAACTTCATTGTGAATTCACGTGACTCGTCGTAAATATAAATTCACGACACGACTTTTGACGTTTTCAACGAGATACACACGACGAGGAAAATCTTTCCCGCCTTTCGTGTTACGTTTTAAAAGCTATCGCACTAATGAAATCGTTGAACATTTGGAAAAATTGTAGCGTTTCNAGTGTTTGAAACATGAGACTGATGTTGCTGTAATAAAACAACTTGGAATGCTTCTGAATGCAGGTCTTGCTTACGGCATCAAGTAGTCATAACATAATCCGGCACTGAATAAGTTAGCGGAATTTGGTGCTTTTTTAGGTCCAAATTTCTGGAATCTGGTGGAATTTTGCTTATGATCTAGCGCTTTAATAAAATCCGAGGTGGCAACACTGAGAAGGAAAGGTTTTGACAGACAGTCAGAAAGTAATACTTTAAGGGTTCCATTTTTTCTTTTAGAGGTATGGAATCGAACCCCGAAAACGACTATCGGAGTTCACA